TAGAGCGCGGGGCTCGCAGTCCGAACAACCTCCTGACTCCTCCTCGTCCTCGGCTACGTCCGCCTCGGCTTCCTCCGGGGGAGGCTCGTGGCCGTGCGGGAGCACGTCCCGGGGGGCGCGGAGCCCGGAGCGGGCTGTGAGCTCCCCCCCACCGCTGCCGCCGCCCACCACGTCTATGTCTGCGTCCGGCTCAGACAGCGCGGCCGGGGAGCTCTCGGAGGACATGATCTCGCAGCAGCAGCTGCCCAGGGTCATGGTGCCGCCGCCGCTCTCCGGCTCCGCTCGGGCCGCGGCTCCGGCTCCGCCGCGCTGCCTCTCGGAGGAGTGTGTTTTGCGCGCGGGCGGGGAGGGGGCGGGGGACCGAGGCGGACAGGGAGGGGTGTCCCCCAGCTCCTCAGCGCCCCCTGGTGTTGAGACTCCACGACTCTCACCCTGCAGGGCGCACCCAACCTGTGCTGCCCCGGGACCAGTAAGCAGGGCACAGGAGGAGAACGGTGAAGCCACCCGCTACCCGGTCGAATCTGGGCCCCTGGGCCCCTAGAGACAGAAGTGGGGCTTCAGGAGATTAGTCCCTCCCGCCTGGTGGCCGCCTAAGGCGGAAGAACCGTGGGCCCGGGGCGGAGCTCCCTGGGCAGGGTGGGGCGGGGAGGAAGGGGGCGGGCAGAGGTCCTCGGCACCCTGGCCCGGCGGGAACAAACTGCCGCGGTGGCGGGAGCTAGACTCCCGTGGCTGGAGGCGGGTCATCCTTCTCTTCGCAGCTCCCGCAAACCCCTGGTCCCCTGGAGCCACAGCCTTCCGTGCTCTCAGCCGCTGGGAGTCAAAGGCATAAGCTGGCGCAGCTGCAGCTGGTGGCGGTGGCTACAGACCTCCTCCCCTCATCTCCCCAAGGCGGCGCCCAGGCCACCCGGGCAGAAGCGCCGCCGACGGATCGCGAGTGAGCCGAGACACCCAGACAGACGCTGCGGATAAGGACCTTCTAGAGTCCCAGGGGTTTCCAGCAGGCTGGAGGAGAGAGTGGTCCGGAGGAGCAAACTTGGCGCCGGCAGATCCGACTCAGAGAGGTGAGAAATTTCTGCTGTGGTCCTCTTTCCCCTCCAAGGCCTCGGCTCTGTCACTGTCCCCGGGAAGACCCAAGGAGAGCATTGCCTGCTCCCGCTCCCCTTAGTGACTGGTCTCCGCAGATGCCGCATTCCCGACACGCCTATAGTCCTTAGCTCGGGTTTGCCTGGCTCGATTTTCCGTCTTAGCATCTCAATCTTTGTAATCATCTCTCTTGACCTCTGTGAATCTGTCTTCATTTCCTGCAGAAACTGCGTTTGCCTGGATGTTTGTCCCTAAGTCTGACAATCCCGCTCTTACTTTTTGGATTTAGAGAGGTCTTACAACAGAGCTCCCACAGAGGACCCCCCCCCCCCCCCCCGGTGAAATTTAACCTCAGCCCTGGGCCAATGTTGCCTTTTTATCTTGGGACCTTTTGCACAGAAAGTTGACACAGTGTGCGCTTTCTACCAACCGGATTCCTGCGCATCTTGTTAGGTCTCTTCCCTATTCTTCCTCTGGGACCCAGAAACAATCGCTCCAGTTTACAGTAAGCCCATTTCAACCCCTGGGGGCTGGAAGGGATTGGATGAGGTGAGGATAAGAACTGGGCAGAGGGCTGACTGTTGCCCCAACAGCGCCGCGCAGTGGCCAAGGCTCTGGCATAGGAGGCTTCAGTCCCTGCTGCGCCCCATAGTCCAAAGCCTCTGTGACCCTTTTTAGGTAATTTCCCTTTAGAGTCCAACTTTCCTGGTTTGTACCACAGTTCAGAGCAGCGCCAGAAGAGTTAAACTGCTAGGACCCCAAATTTGGCTTCACCGGCTACCCTTTGTATCACTTGGCTAATTTTCTTAACTTCTTTGCCTGTTTCTTCCTCTAAAGTAAAATTTAGAAAACCTACCTCAAGCCTGACATAGTGGTAACCCCTTCCATTTGCCTTGTGACCAGTATGCAAAAGCAGCCATTATAGGCCAGTGATTATGTAGCTTCTAGGTTGCTCTATTCTCTGGGAGAGAAGGGAGTCAGGGAAAATGTGGTCTCCCACCTGGTTCTCAAGCCCTGGCCCAACTGGCGACTATTTATTAGTACCACGGTAACATCTCCAGACATTGTGCTGATCTCTCTCTCTCTCTCTCTCTCTCTCTCTCTCTCTCTCTCTCTCTCTCTCTCAAGCTCTGAGGCTATGGGGAAGAAATTTGCAACCTAGGTGGGCTGAATGCAAGAAAATACACGTAAAGGTGGGTGAACCCTTTACCTAAGAGCACCCTGCATCAATGAAGACAGGGATAGCTTCTTACCTTTTAAGAACAAATTCTCCAAGCGCCCTCGGGGACCTCTGACCAAGAGGACCCACTCAGTGTGCTGGATTTGCATAAACAAAGTATTCCTGGGAAACAGACAAGGTCCAGCCCTCAAAACAGGGACAGTAAGATGAACAGAGACCAGGGGCCCTGGAATTGGAATGTTCTGGCAACCACACACATACTTCAAGTTAGCTCCCTCCCTCCCTCCCTCCCTCTCTCCCTCCCTCCCTCCCTCAGGATCCCACTCAGATACTCTACACCACTAACCACATCCTTACTCCTACCCAGCTAGGACTCATCTCTACCCTGGGATACCCAGCTAGTATTCCAATAAAGAAAGAGAAAACTCAAGTTTCTCTTTGGCTAGTTGGTTTCACCTTTACTTCAAAAATAGCAAAACCCATAAGTAACCTCCTGCCTTGCCAGTGCTCTCCTGATATCTCAGACTCTAGCTACGTGTTCAGCCTCAGGGTGGGACTGGATAACGCTTGTTACCCAAATCTCCTTTAAAAGGCTTCATGCAAGACTCTACCAGCCATTGCTGCCAGCCGCTGCACCCTTGCCCTGAGACTGATGCTCAAGCTGGGGGAAAGCAGTCAAGACCCCCCCCCCAGCTCCTGTCCTGCTGGGCAGCAGTGGGGCACCATCTTAAGAAATCATCCAAACTCCACGAACACTTTAACAAGCATGGAAAGAAAGGGCCAGGGCGGGATGTGCCTTGGCAGGTTTTTGAGGTGCTCTACATGATAGTCCACCCATCCTAGAACTCTTCTATTAATCCAAGTAGCTGCTTTCCAGACCTTGCCTCTTGCCTAGGGAGATGTTTCTGGTGGCCTTTTGTCCCTTTTAAGGCTCTGGGCCAGTTTATTTTCAACATTGCCCAGAGCAGAGGCACTGGAGGCTGGGAGAAGGGCTACCCTGGGATTCAGTGGCCCCTGCCTTTCCCACCTTCAGGCTCAGCCTGTCACACAGTGGTGGCTTCACCTTTTGGGAATTTGCTGTTCTCTGGGCAAATATCTGCGCATGGCCCACAAAGCTGGGGCACTCGTGCCTAGGACAACCTCAAAGGAGCAGGAAGCGTGACAGGGAGTGGGTCTTGATGACAACATCTCTCTAGTTAAGCCCTAGAAGTTTCTATCTGCCTCACTGCCCAGCTTGAGCAGCCTGGAACAACTGAGAAGTAGCTCCTAAGTAGATGGTGTATCTCTGCAGAGTCTTTCATTCCACGATGCTTTTATAACCAGCCAGGAGTTGGTTTGTTGTGAAGTATGTGTTGCTCCCACTGGCTTCTAAGCCATCTATCTCTGCACCCTCTCTTAAGGTCCTACAGAGAAGCCATTCTCTGTGGATCCGGGACAAGAGAGCTCTCCCGAGATTGTATGGATATAATTAAGTCAGTGACGAAACTGCTAAAGAACATAGCCTGCAGCCTTTGGGTTTGGAGCTCCAAGAGTGCCTTGGCCTGCCCCAGCCACTACTAGACTGTGGAAAGAGGCTGGAGCTGAACAGGGTGTACCATGTCCACGCACTTCCACAAACTTATTTACCAACCGGCTAACCTTGGGGAACGCTGCAGAGCCAATGCTAGCCCCCTCCCCCTCTCCAAGAGGCCACAACCCCGTTTTGAGATCCAGATCGAGAGAATTGTTCACCTACAGCTCCGGGCTCTAAACCTGCTTTGGAATCTAAATTTCCCTTGGCCAAATTTGGAAGCAGAGACTCCAGATCCTGTGACTGCAGAGATGGACTTGAAGGGGCCAGGGATCCTAGACACAGAGGTGACAGCTGGCTGGGCTCCAGTGTGTGCACCAAGATTTCAACAGCAACCCAACCCTAGGTGCCTCCGCTCTAGCCCACAGCTCAGGGTAACAAAGTCACCATATTCCTCTGGTTCCATTACGTCTCCTCTGAGCCACCCATTCTCAGGCAAAGTAGTGGGAGGCTTGCTTAAGCACCTATGACCTACGGCCGGCTGCGGTGGTTGAGACCAGAGCAAACTATGGCTCCTGTTCGTGGGAAGAGGGTTGCAAGCTCGAGAGGGTAAAAATAGCGGCACCGCTGAGCAGAGGCGCCTGCTCAACTTACGGACTGGATTAGATAGAGAGAGCTGGAATGCGGTAGGGCCAGTAAGTGGGGACACTTCCAGGTGTACCGGAGTGGGTGCCCCAGGTCTATACCTTCCCTGGTGGATTCTATGGGCCCTAGGTCCGAGGGTGTGTTTATCTGTCCGGGTATGTGTCTTTTCCCTCGGCTAACTTGCTCAAGTGTGGCCAAAAATGCCCCGGAACAGCAGGCGCCGGTCCCCTTAGAGACTTCCACCGCCGACCTCACACGGTGTTCAGAGGGCCAGAGTGACCTGAGACTTCCCTGGAAGACTGGCTATTCAAGCTTACAGCGTTTCTCTACAATCTGCTCGAGCAGAGACCAGCTCTGGGACTAGCTGCTTGACCTCGGAGGAAAGGGCTGCGTGCTGGCTTGCAGATCTAGAGAGAATTGATATGAATCTGGGAGACACAAGACTGCGGAAAGCTACAGGGCTGCCATAGAGCCTAGTGGGCACCAGCCGCGAACTCCTTCCTACCAGTTACACACTGGAGCTAGAACAGCGGCACTCCGGGAATAGAAGGCTCTTCTGGCGTCATAAATAATTCGGGTAAAGCAGAAGGGAACTGTGCCTAGCCTTGGGAGCTCAGTCCCCCTAAGCGTCGTTACATTTCACCTTCGCGAGGGATTGGTGAAGTGGTAGGTCCTCGCATGGGCAGGGAAATTCGTAGGGGTGTTTGCGGAGCCTCTTAAACCCAGAGGAAGCTGAATGAGGGACCATACAAGCCCAGGCCTAGCTGCTCAGAGGCTGCGACAGATTCCTGGAGAACAGCGACCTCTGGAGGAGCGTCGCATCCACGCAGAGTCAGGAACTGCACTCTAGGTTGAGACCAAATCGCCATGTTCTCACCCCACCCCCATACACTACTTTGGCATTCATCCAGAAACTTGGAACCGCTGGACTCGACGTTTTACTCACCTTGGCTGCCTTTCCCAACCTATCGGCTTACTTCAGATCCCTCCGAAACCTCCTGAGAGAAGCCTTCCCAGAGTCAAACCCATCCTCCCTTCTTCCTGCTCTGAGCTCTTCAAAACCTAACTAAGGCCTGGACCCTCAACTCCAGCCCTGCTCACCACAGCGGGAATCCACCTGCTTCCTGCCCCACCCATTTTCAAAGAGACCGTTAATCCACTCCACACCCACCCCTTGAGTGACATGCTAAGTGTCCCCCCCCTTCCCCCGCCCTCGGTAAAGGAAGACTGAAGTCTAAAACTAGACGGTGAGTTTTTTTTCTTTTTCTATTGTCAATGTGTTTATTATTGTGAGGTAACATATACTTATTAAAGAAAGAAGATAATACTAGATAATAATTGCATATACCCCAAAAGTGATATGGTGTTACAGAGGTGAGGGAGCAGCTGAGTTTCCCTATCGGTGGAAACCCCGTGGTGAGATTTTAAAAGTAGCGATCTCTCTGGCTTCTAAGGACCTGTATCCACAATGCATTTAGAGACAAGCTGTTTGCACCAACTTTCCTGTGGGCCTGTGAGTAGTGCTAATAACAATATCTTGCATCTTCAGCAATTTTTGGTGGGTCCTGCCCTAGTCATCTGTCACAGAATGTGTCATGTTCTGAATTTCCCTGTGTACTGTAGATTTCTCAAAGCTCGTTTCTCATAATGCAGGGAAATGAAAACGCAGAGATGAATTCATGTCTTGAGAGTCACACAGCAGATTGGCAGGAGAGGTGGGAACTAGAAGCTTATTACTAAATTCCCCAGGGTGGTGCTCTGTCCCTCTCACCTGAAGGAGAAGCAGAGTGTGCGGAACCTAGAAGGGGGTTTGGGGGCACAGGAAACAGGAAATGAAGAGGGAACTGGGGAGGGGGCTCACTGCTCCAGAATGGAACCATAAAGAAAGCAGACAGGGCAGTTATGCTGGGACATCAGAATCCCTGCCCCAGCCCCCCAGCCATAGGCCAGAATGAGTTGCTTTGAAGAGTGCCAATATTCAGGATTTGGCTGAATGTTTTATGTGAGCAAGTGAACGGGGAACAGCTTCAACCTGGATAAACATCACCCTCTCCCATCCACCATGGCTTCTTTTGCCCGTGGAAGGAAGGGGCTCAGATCTTTTCTGCTGATCCACCCTCAGGTGGAGCAGAGAGCCGCTGGAGGTGGGCTCCTGGTGCAGAAAGGGAAGTGTGAACGATAGCTGATTTGCCTGAGACCTCAGGGGTACCTGCCCAGCTGCCTGAACATTTGCATGATTAGTTCACGGAGAGGCGTGCTTGTGTCCAAGCACAGGATACCTCAGCGTGGTGGTGCGGCTTACTTATCCAGCCTCAGTTCCGAGCCCTGCTCTCTACCGAACCTGATTGATTTACTCTCCCTCTTCACCTTCAGCCTGACTCATTCTTCCTGATCCTTCTTAGTCTATTTTAAAAGTCACCTTTTTTTTAGCCCCTTCCCCTATAATACCTTAGGCTTCCCACACTGTGAGGGGCTCCCCCTCTGTGCTCCCAAAGCTAGAGCTCCCCCTGCTGTTGGGTGTGCTTTCCAGTTATTCTTGTGGACTGTGAGCTCCTTACAAAAATCATGAGGACAAAAATTATGTTGTGTTCATCCTTATCTTTCCTTCTTTAGAAAAGAGGGTAATGACTCTACCTACCTCAGCGAGCTGTTGTGAGTACTAAATAAGAAAATGTATATGTGCGCTTAGACCAGTGCCCCAAACTTTGGAAGGGCTCCATAAATGTCACGCATTGTTATTATTAATAATTCTGCCCTCTTTCAGATACAAAGCCCAACACACACTAAGTATTTAATTGTGTTGGGTGTGTGCATAGTGAATTCAAGGTAGAATGAATTTTGTGGCTGATCTCTCCTTCTGCTTGGGTCTCCCCAGAAATCAAGCTTAGACTATAAGTAGAATTGGGTGTGCTTTGAGAATAGATATGTTTTCTCCATCACTGATCCCTGAGGGGAAGAAAAATATGTTCCCCTGGACAGACTCTAGCAAAATTTCTGGTTTCAGAACTAGAATCCTTTTGTCAATGGTTGAAACAAGACTGGCCCTTATATCCTTTGCACACAGGATCTGTGCAGGAAGATAAGTGATCTCAGGAAGAGAATCTTCTCCCTGACTCCCCTCTGAGTGAAATTAAGCTGAAATGAGTAGAGGGAAACAGCCTAGAGAGGTCCGGGTACATCACTCCAGCTCCACCTGAAGGGAACTGGAACCCTTGGCCATGATCCTTGCCCAGTCTTTGGCCTTTTCATGTGTGCTCTTTGCTTCAGTCCCTCCCTGTTTTGTTTTGCTTTGGTTTGATTGGTGATCTGTGTGGTCCAGTGGGTGTGTCCAACTCTGTTCACTTCCCACCTAGCTGCAGGAACAGATAAGCAACCTAGCAGGGTCCAAGCATAGCATTGCCAGTCCAAGGCCCAGTGACCAGTCATGCAGTAGATGACCTAACCCGATCCAGCCACTCCTGCTGTATACCTAAGCTGAGACAGCCACTCCTGCTGTATACCTAAGCTGAGACAGCCACTCCTGCTGTATACCTAAGCTGAGACAGCCACTCCTGCTGTATACTTAAGCTGAGACAGCCACTCCTGCTGTATACCTAACCTGAGCCAGCCACTCCTGCTGTATACCTAACCTGAGACAGCCACTCCTGCTGTATACCTAAACTGAGCCAGCCATCCCTGCTGTAGTTATGTGACTACTAAGATGTAGGGACATGTACTCCGTGAGACTCTGAGAAATATGACTCCTGGGACACTCTTCTCATTTTGGACTGGAAAGCAAGTACACGGGCTTAAGAGCTACCAGAAGCCATCTTTGCTCCCAGGTGGAAAATGCTGTCTGACAGAGAATGATGGAAGCTTGATAAAAATAACAGAATTGTGGGGCCTAGAACCAGCTGTACTTTCCACTCTCCAGAAACATGGTGGGTGGGCAATCTCTTGTGATAAGTGAGGGTGTGTTGAATTTCTGACAATTGAGTTCAGTTTCACCAAGAGCAAAGTTGCAGAGGAGATCATCACTGAACTGCCTGCATAGACCTTTGTTTAAACTGCGGAAAAGTCAGTCTGTTCTAGCCACTGATAAAATTGGCTTGGAACACGAGCTGTTATTCACAGCTAAAACCTAACCCTAATTAATATAGGAAGGATGGCAAAATGTCCTATAGACACAAAGGAAAGGCCTAGGGTTGTCACCCTGAAGAACAAAGGGTAGACACAGATACTATATCCAATATGTAGAGAGCTAATCTAGGCCAGAGACTTAATGGCAATGGAGAGCCAGAAAGCTGGGATGAGACTTATATTCTGTAACTACATATAAGGAAAGTGTTCCAGGAAAATGCTGTGTCTCAGACAATGTTTACTTTGGGGTGTGTGAGGTCCCCATTATTGAAGAAGAAGCTGGACAATCACTGAGTAGGTATATTAGTGGCCTCCAAGTAAAGCAGGAAGGGTTCAGGTCATCACATTATGCTTTCTCTATAACTCTCAGATAATAATCTCTCAAGGCTCCCATTTCCTTGCTTGTAAAGTAGGTAGCTGAGCTTTGGACTAGGAACAAAGAAATTTCTAGCTAGTCACCTCAGAGACTTCTAAGACCCAGCACTGAAACTAGAGACTACCATAAGTCAAGATGTCTCAGCAAGGTTTCCCATTCTCTCCAACCTTGACATGTTTGACAATGCCAGCCAGCTTCTTCCTTTCAGGAGAATGCAATGCTCCTCCTTTTGGTTTGCTCTTCAGTTAAGGGGGAGCAGTGGAGCCTGAGACAAGAGACCCAGGCTCTACATCTGGAACTGTTCTGTCTTCCTGTGTGAGCTTAGCGGTGTTCCTACCTCTTCTAGGACCTCAGTCTCCTCATCTGACAAGTTAAAAGTGTGTATCCCAAACAATCTGGCTCTAGATCATAACTTAGTGATTGTGCCCCATCTACAATTCTGAATGTGGCAGCTACCATTCAAAGCAATGCTAACTATGTTACTAATATCACTTTGCCCTCCCTAAGCCCCTCAGATCCTGCCAAAAGAGACTGCCTCATCCTCCTGCTAGGGTATTCCCAAACGGCTGTGAAGTGGACTTATCCTGTGGTCATAGAAGAGTAGGCACAATTGGAGACATAGGACAAGCAAGTGTGTCTGGAAGCCGAGAGGCCTGAAAGATGAGGGTAAAAAAAAAAAAATCTACCACTTGATCCAGGGCTATGGACTGAAAGGGAGGACCCGTTGCTATAGACAGAATGGCAGCTAGAGGATAGACCAACCCAGAGTTGGGGAGGCAAGTACCCCAGCTTACCAGATCTAGAGGGCAAAATATCTGACAAGGGGAGCTAGTGGTAGACTCAGATGAAAGGCTCCGGCAGGAGAGGTGTGAAGTTTGAAAGATTCTGTGCATGGTCAAGAAGGGTCCCTCTGAGAAATAAAGGGAGGCAGTTATTCAAAGAGCCAGTACATGGGAACTATGGTGCCCTGGCAAGGGCTGAGTAGAAATTCAGTTCTACTTCCTGCTTGTGTGCCTGCACATGGGTGTGAACTATGTACAAGGTCTCCTGTGGCACTGATTGAAAGGGCCAGGGAGGTGGTGGGGTGACCAAATGCTAGCAGTCCCTAGAACAGAGAGTATGTGGTGTAAAACAGAGTAAAGAAGCCCATGCAGGTTTGGTTTTGGTTTTTGGTTTTGATGTTGTTTCGAGTTTTTTGTTTCATTTTTGAGACAGAGTCTCACTATGTGGCCCTGACTATCCTAGAACTTGCTATATAGATCAGGCTAGCCTCACGAAGATCTGCCTGCTTCTGCCTCCTGAGTGCTGATATTAAAAGTGTGTGCTACCAACACCAGCTGTGGTGGATTTTTGTGTATACAACCAAAATACCTGGCAAGCATTCTCCCCACTGAGCATCTCCCAACCTCAAGGAAGACTTTTCCATGGGGTGCCTCTAAAGCCCCATGAATATATTACATATCTAACAACAAAATAAAACAATTTTAAAGGGACAAATGTATCATTCTAATGAATGAGGCTTAGTGTGCACTACACAAGAATAATAAATCTATGAGTGGGTGCAGGATATTTCCTATGGGACTCCAACCTGAAAATACAATATGTGGTTGTGTGTCCTGAAGATAGCTAGGTCTGGTGGATGCCAGTGGCTGTGCCTAGCAGGACATCAGGCAGGGAAGCAGGCGGGTCTAACTAGGACTGAGCATCTCCTGTGCTTTCTTTCTGCTCTGCTCCTTTCCCTGTCTTTAGCTCTTCCTTCTCTTGGTCTAGACTGCCTCGAAAGTAGTCTTTTTTTCCCCATGCAGTTTTCTAGGCCAAGATTCCAGTGGATGGAGGAAGAGAAGGCTCCACAGGAACCAGAGCGGCTGTTCCCACTCTCTCTTCCTTCAAATCTCAACCCAGAGCCGGGCTCCTCCAGAAACCCCGAGCCACCCAGAGCCCCTCCCATCTCAGAAACGGGGACTGTCCCCGGTGGGGGCTGTTTTCTTCAAGTCAGGCCCAGGTTTCTTGTCTCTCGTCTCCTCAACCCCTGAAGATGAGAGGCAGCCCAAGCCAGAGCCTCAACATGTCCACCTCAGACTGCCTCATAAGGAAGATAGTAGAGCAGAAGAGGCATTGTCTTTGTGGAGTCGGCTCTCTCTTTTCACCACGCAGCTCCCAGATACTGAGCTCAGGTCATCAGACTTGGTGGCAAGTGTTTTTACCCACTGAGCCATATCACCAGCCCCCACCTCATCTGGCACAGAGCAGACAGCCCTCACCTGGCAGTTACCAAAGTCGCCGTAGCATGGCAGAGAGAATGGGTACATTCTTCCTGTTGTCATAGGAAGCTTAGGAGGAGGTCAAGGCAGAGTCTCGAGGTGAGTGAGTGACCAGGTTACTTCACAGCTGTTTCATCGTGTAAATCACTTGGCACACCGTGTGACTGCCTGCCACCGTCTGTAAGCTGGGACAGTGTCTGATTTCTCTCTGGGCTCTCAGCTGTAGAGCAGGACAGAGCCGGCCCAGTCTAAGAGTTTGGGGGAATTAAGAATTGCTATGGAAACCAGAGACAGGGAAAGACTTGGCTGGGTGTTTGACCTGGAACTAGACCTCATGGTTTCTGCCTTAGCCCAGCGCCTTTTCCTCAGTTTCCCTCTTACAGTGAAGAACTATACATCCCACCCTCATTCCAAGTTCCTCTGCAGTAGAGCAGCTACCAAGCACTGCCAAGAGGAAACGGAGAGGAAGTTGGAGATCTGGGTGGGATTCTCAGAGAACGTGGGAACTACAGCCAGTTTCCTGTTCCACACCAAACAAGTGAGTTGCAGACTGGAGCAAGGACCTGGTGGTCCCCATCAGGCTAGTATGGCATCCAAGAGAATCCTGGCTTCATTCCAGTGATTTCCTACTTCAAATAAGTCATACAGCATGACCAACAGGTGGCGCTTTTGTCCCCATAAACTTGATGGGGGAGAGGAAGGAGACAAGTGGCCAGGTTGGGGGAAAGACAAGCAGAGGAAGCAACCCAGAGGAGGACAGAAATTGAAAATGAGTCAAGAAAAGAGAACTATAAGACCTATCACTTGGCTTGAAATGGGACCTTTCAAGATCCTAACTGGGAGTGAATACTGGGGAGGGGTCTCAGGATGAAATGAGGGAGTGAATTACTGGCAGCTGGGGCTTTCCATTCAAGTTTTCACTTCTACCCAATTCTTCCTCAGAGGAAGGAAGGAAGGCTTTAGAGTTAAGTAGACCTGGGGTCAGTCCTGAATAAGTCAAGTCAGTCACTTTGTGGCTTGACCTGGGTAAATGACTTAACTTTTAGAAACTTCAATTTCATAATTTATAAAGGGGGGTGATAAAAGGAAGCTGGGGGCTGGAGAGGTAGCTCACTGATCAAAAGCATATATTAGTCTTCTGGAGGACCTGGGTTTGATTCCCAGAACCCTCACCAGATGGCTCACAACCACCTTACAACCTTAGCTCCAGGAAATCTGACTCTTCCATCTTTGGGTATCTGCACTCATGTACATACCACAGCACACATAAAAATAACAAAAATAAAATTAAAAATATCAATAAGAGGAGGCTAATAATTCTAAGTTAATTTGTTGATATTTTGTTGTGGGGATTTTGTATCTCTCATATGTGAAGTTAGACCATATCTTTGTGTTTATATAATCTTTGTTAGGGTTTTGTTTTGTTTCTTCTGTTGTTTGCTTGCTTGCTTGCTTGCTTGTTTGCTTGCTTGTTTGTTTGTTTGTTTGTGGTGGAGCTTCCCCTCCCCCCAAGGAGCTCTCTATGTAGCCTTGGCTGTCCTGGAACTCACTCTGTAGACCAAGCTAACCTTGAACTCAAAGAGTTCTACCTGCCTCTGCTGGGATTAAAGGCACGTGCCACCACCCCCAACTTTATTAGGCTTTCATAGCCTCATAAAATAGATCGAATTGAGATAACTTCCATTTCTTCTATATTCTGAAACAATTTATATCTCTAGAAAATAGGTTTCTTGGTGGTTTGACAGCATCTGCAGGTAAATCAGCCTCGGTGTGCTCTGTGGGGGGGGGGGGCAGTTGAGGAGCTGCCTCTGAAGGGTTTTATCTGCTGTGCTCGTAGATCAACTGGGCCTAGCAGCCCCCTACATCAGTCAAGCCAGACCTTAGTCAATGGTCGATTCTTTCTAGCTCTGTACATCTGCTTTTCTCCCCCTGTACCAAGCATCTTTTTATGTAATAGCCCTTGAAGTGATCTCCCTGTCTCGCCTCAAGTCTTCTCTAACACCATTTACATAGCTTATGATTTATGAGCATAAGTTTGGTTTAGGGATTTAAAAGTCCACATTTGTAAATGTATGGTTTTCAATTTATATATTTATAAGTAGTCTGTAATATTAACTCTCTTCTAGACTAAGAGTTATTTGTTTAAATAAGTTTTCAATTGTTTTGAAGGCCATGAGATTATTTTCATTTAAAAGTATACCACTATATTAACCCCTGTATCTTGTGAAATCCTCCATAATATTAGCATCTCCCAGAGAGGTACTTCAGTAAGCTTACATAACCCAGTCATACCAGTGGAGGCCCCTCCATTTTGCTCATTAGTCTTTCTTAGGTACCCCAAATTACATCCAGAGATCTGACAGTTGTCTGAAGGAATTTTTCTGTTAACACAATTGTCAGGCTGTTGTGGAGAGTGTCACTTTCCTAAGTACTCAATTTTCCATGTGCAAGGACAGTGTTGGCTTCTTTCTTGAGCTGGAGCTACAGGCTCCCAAATTAGCTTGACACCATCCGAAGTACAAAGCCAACTCCCCCCACATTCCAAGTCCCCCTTGGTCAGGAAGCATCTCTGTCTGAGTGCCTTTCCTCCCAGCTCCTTCTCAAGTGAGCAACACGGCTCAGTGGGTAAAGGGCTTGTCACACAAACCTGATGGCCTGAGTTTGATCCCCAGAACCTATGATAGAAGGAGAAAAATGACTTCCAAAAATCGTCCTCTTGTCTCCACATGCACACTAAGGCATATGCACACACCATGGCACACACACAATAGCACTCATGTATATACATCACACACACAATAATAATAAAGAAATAAAGAGTTCTCGATGGTTCCTCTTCCTGCCCAAACACTCACCAGCATGCTGAGCTACCTTCACAGCTTCCTTGAAGGTAACTCATACTAAATTGAGGAAGTACCTCTGATTCTCATTCCCCACACCCTCCCACAGTCAAAGTCTACAGAAACACAGCTTTGACTCAACTATTTTACTGTCAAAGTGCATTTTTAGCTTTTCATGTTAAAATAATCATCTTAATTTCAGATATGTGGTTTCCAAAACAATTTACCTCTACTGGAACAAGGAAATAAACAAAGGAAAAGGAGGATATGGAATCCAGGAAACAGAAGATGCAACACAGGACAGAGATGAAGGGATAGTGAAAAGAAATTCCGGAGCAACATCTGTACAGCAGACATGGAGAACCATCAGTCCAGACTGGAGCCAGAGGACAGAGAAATCTGGGAGAAATGCCCCCAGGAGGGCAGACATGCAGCAAAAACAGTGATGAATTTCTTCATACACTTGGTCTTGTGAAAAAATGTACTATTGGAAAGAAGGGGGAGATTTAGCAGTAGACAGAAGCTGAGCAAGTGAAAACAAAAAGGCATAATTAGGTACAGGAAAAATTAAAATATTGGACACACAAAAGTAAACATTGTATACTCTTAGTTTATCAGATAACAAAGTAATGAAGTAAATGTTATTATAAAAACAAATTTAACCCAAAGTTAGTGATTTTGGTGCCAACATGGGGGAGGAGATTTTAGAGTTAGATAATCAGGTGTCATAATATCAAGTTAATCATTAGAACCCAAGGTAGATTTTCGATGACAGAGCACTTGATTGACATGCTCTGGGTTTGATTCCCAGCACCGCAAAAAAGAAAAAAGGAGGAAGAAGCCATTCATTACTCTTTCAAGAGAGAAGACTATAAACATGGAAATATATTCCCAAACAAACAAATCAGAACTGTATTTGGAGAACTGCTCTGGAGTTGTTGCTTGTAGGCCTAGATACAGAGTTTTTAAGAGCAGTGCAAGATACCAATTGTGAGCTTCTGATTGCTATTTGACTTGACATGATGTGCTTATTTAAGTTGAACAAAAGCTTAAATTAGAGGAGTAGAGATGTAGTTCAGTGGTACAGTGCTTGACCAGGGTGTTTAAGGCCCTGGGTTCAATCCCCAGTACCAATAAAATAAACATTAAAATGTACCTTCAGATTAAAAATGACTTCTGATTTTCTTTCTAAATTATTTATATATATATGAGTATTTTTGCCTGCATGTATGTATAGATACCACTTACAGGATATCAGATCCCCTGGAATTGGAGTTACAGACAGTTGGAAGCTGCCATGTGGGTTGCTGGGAACTGAACCCAGGTCCTCTCCAAGAACAGAAAGTGCTCTTAATTGCTGAGTCATCTCTACAGCTCCAACTTTTAATATTCTTTTCTTTCAAAAAAAAAGTTTTTAAAATTTTACCTGTGTGAGTGTTTTGCCTGCATACATGTCTGTGTACCATGTACATGCCTGGTGCCCAAGGAGGCCAGAAGAAGGCATCAGATCCCCCGGAACTGGAGTTGCATAGGTTGTGAGCCACCATATGGGTGCTTGGAATGGAACCAGAGTCCTCTGGAAGAGCAGTTAGTGCTCTTCATCACTAAGCCATCTCTCTCTCCAGGCCCGTCTACCTTATTGGGTCTTTCAGGGAAAATGGAGCTCCAGTTTCATCAAGGCCGATGGAACTGTGAGACCCAAGGATCTGTCTGCTTCACAGATCTAAGGTGATGTGTGTGTGTGTGTGTGTGTGTGTGTGCCAACAAAGTATGCTGGTAATCCCAGCTCAGGTCCTCAGGCTTGTGCAGCAGGCACTGTGGCTGATGAGCCATCTCCCAGCCCATCCCCGAAGCTTTTTAATAGGAGAGTTGGGTTACATTCTAGTTTTTTCAACATCTGCTAAAAGGTCAAAATTTTTAGGGCACAATATGATATATAGCTTTCCAGACTGTAAACACTCTGAAGACATACACAAGTTTTCTTGTTTGTATCTCTATTGGGCACAGCACATCCATGATGCTGTTGAATAAAGACCCTGTCAAAAACAAAGAAAGAAAGAAAGAAAAAAGGGGAAAAAAGAGAAAAAAAGAAACTGAAAATAAATCTTTCTGTGTTTCCAGTTCCACAGTGACCTTGCTGGCATCCCTGAGTGCCCTCAAATCCTGGGCAGTGATATATCTGCAGTGGCAACAATGGAATTCATAGCCAGGTAATGGTGGCCCGTGTATGCTTTTAGTCCCAGTACCTGGGAGGCAGATGTAGGCAGATCTCTGTGAGTTCAAGGCCAGCCTGATCTACAGAGTGAGTTCCAGGACAGCAGGGCTACTGAGAGAAACCCTGTCTACAAAAAGAGAAGAATGAAATTCAGAGCAGAGGAAGTGCTTTTTGGCTTCAGGGTGGCAAGTGGGTTCTTCCCTTCCCTGAGAATGTCCTGAATTGAGAAGGCATTTGTGAACAGATGCTTGGAGCCAAGAAGCTGGGCAGCCACACCATTTGAAGCAGAAGAAAATTTGCATTTTGATCTTTGTGGTGCCCCCTCCTCAGAGAACCAAAGCTGGATTTCCTGCTGCCTGCTTGGTCCAGGGTGGACAAGTTTTCTAAGGCGAGGAACAAAGAAATTGCCTCCACGTCCACCTCATTCTCCTTTTTAATGCCCCCACCAGTCACTTTGAGAATGGCAAATAAGAATGGAAAAGAAAGTGCCAAAACATTCGTTATTCACTAAGGCAGACACAGTATTAGACACTAAGGGATCCAGATGTCCAGTCAGTGAGTCCACAGATGCTAAGGACCTCTATCCCTTGCACCAGGCAAATGGGATCTGACCCTTGCTCAAAACAGTTAACAGCTAGGAGAAAGCACTTTAAAAAAAAAAATCATACTCTTAAAAGGACCTTCTTGCCTTCTCTGATTCCCCCACAGCTTTCTCCTATGATCTGCTCAGTGTTCACCTTCACCTTCCATCACCACCCTGTAGCCTCAAACACTGGTGTCTAGGAGAGGAACATCCCAGGAGACAATCGGTCTCCTTGGGATTGCGGCACATTATCCTCTCCTCTGCCCCTCTCTACCCCAAGTCAAGATCTACTAGACTGGGAGCTGGAGCGGGAATCTTGAGAAAGCACAGTTTTTGGGTCAGTACCAGAGACCAGGACAAGGTCACAGACCAAGTTTCTCCCTCCTCCACCTTTGAGGCAGCGATGTTGCTGCCCTGTCCTTGGTGCTGGGCATATCAATTCAGTCAATGCTGCTGCCCCTCTGGCAGTCCAGGAGGAACACAAATGGATGGTGGTCTCTGACTTAGCCTCATCCCTCAGAGCAGGGAGTTTTCATCTTTTAGGCTGAGCCACAGCCTGGGCCACTGCCTCTCCTCCAGCATAGTGTGCCCTAATCCCTTAAGGATTTTATTAAAATGCAGACTCTGATGATTCAACAGGTCTGTAGTGGGGCCTGAAATCATGCATTTCTAGCATTTATCCAAGTGATAGAGGTCCATGGACCTCATTTTGAGGAAGGGACACTTCACTTTGCTGAGAAGTGGTGATTAGATTAATGCCAATTAATGTGCCCCCTTATCCTTAGGCATTGGGAATCTCAAAGATTAGGCAACCTGCTTTCTAAATTCACTCACCCACCCACACCCCATTTCATCTCTACCATCTGTGAGATGCAGGTGGCAAACGTTGTCCCGGCCGGCTATGTGCACGGCTATGTCGAATCGCTCCTTTTCCCGACTTCAGGAGAATCTATCTGAGAACTCAGAAGGAGATTCACCCCGTGTCAATCCCAAGAGGCAAACCTCACCCATCGTCCTCCCCAGCCATTCCCCAGGTTACCAGTCAACACGACAAACCCAGAGAAGGATTTCTTTTTTTTTTTTAATTAAACTAGCTTTGATTGGAAAATAACAATAACCCGATAAGTTCTGTGTTTTCCACGGAGGTGGGGCAGTCACAGAGGCCCACTCATCCTCCCTCCGTTCAGGAGACCTGTTAGCTTGCAAAGTCAGAAGAGCTGCCTCAGAACCTGGAACAGAGCAGCCAGGTGTGTCTGTGTGGGAGGGGGCTCAGTAAGAAACCAAGGGCAGAAAGGTAAAGCCAGGGAAGGGAACAAACTGTCAAACTTGTCGGTAAGTGGCGGAAGATGGCGGGAAAGTAATGAACCCAGGAGTCTGACCTCTATCTAATGTTGGCAAAACATCAGGGGTCGGGGAGGTGGCTTGAGACTGAAAGCTTCCAGACTGGAACTCACCAGGACTCCTGGGGCTACTAGAGGCCCCACTGGTGACCGTCCAGCTGCAGGGTATGAGACGTGGCACTGTGGGGGTGCATAGGTGGGGCGTACATATAGAGGGAGGAGTGAAGGCCCTAAATCGGAGAGGGCGCTTCAGTCGGGTGGTGGTGAGATGGTCAGAGTCTCCCCACCCGGGGATGGAGGAAGGCAAGGAAGGTCTAGCTCGAGGCAAGGTTAGGGGACTCAGCAGAGAGCGCCAAGCTGCGTGTGGACCCCAGAGACGAGCGCGCTCTGCTCCAGCGAGGGCTGGAGGCTCGGCCAGGTGCTCCCGCAGCGGGAGAGCGGCTCACAGGTAGCGTTCCAGCCCCGGGGCGAAGCCCGGCTGTCTCAGGTAGGCGTCCCCGGGGCTGAGCGGCCCGAGCGCGCCGGCCGGTCCCGCTAAGGCCAGGAGAGGCTCGGCGGGCAACGGCGCGGGCGGGTAGAGCGGC